TTTTTTCTAAGTTAATGAAAATAAAAGATAAACTTTAATTTTCTTGTACCTTTAGTGATGTTCCGCATCAAAAGTATGTTAAAAATACGAAAAACAACTTCTAACCAGTGAGGGAACAGGCATGTTCCTTTACTGGGCATAGATTTCCCAGTGAATGAGCATTATGTGTTAATATGTTGACACTTTAATTTTCAATTCATGTATACAAAAAAAAGTTAACCTTTTCCAAGTATTTATATTTTATAACTTCAAGAATAAGCTTGTTTTTAAATATTTGCATGGCTTATAAATTCATAAGGAGCATTAAAAAATAACCAAAATTAAGGGTTCCTTTACTGGGTGTTCATTCACTGGTAAGAGCTGTTCCCTCACTTGGTCTTCTTACTACTTGTTATTTAAACCTCCAAAACTTTAAAACAATATTATGTGAGTTCTCTACAATTTTTTTACATAATTTTCAATTAGTAACAAATATGTTGACACTGTCATTTAACTAAAATTACGAATTTTGAAATTAATATGATTTTTTAAAAGGCAAGCGAAGCTAAGTGTTCCTTCACTGGTTAGTTTACCCTAATTCTCTTAACATTAATCATAATTTTTCGATTTTCTAATTAAATCTTTCAGTTTAACACGATTGTAAATGAGTACACAAATATTCCAAGAGTTAGATAAATTATAATCCAAATTAATGTTTAACAATTAGAAATTTCCCGAAGTTAATATGTACTAACATACCATAAATTAACACTCTCCGCATATCCCCTAATTGCAACTATTACGAACAATTTTAATAAGCGGAGCCCTGCTGAGAAGTCGAATTTAACAAGTGTAATTTTTGTAATATAATTCACAATTTTCAATTCGCTGATTTAATCTTTAAATTTAGAGTATTTGTAAATGAATATTCAAATAATCTCGGAAATAGCGTGGGTTCAAATTTTACAAGTTATTGTAATTTTTGTAACATGATCCATAATTTTCAATTTTCTAATTTAATCCCTAGATTTAGCATGTTTGTAAATAAATACACAAATGTACCTAGTAATAGAGAAATTATAATCCAAATTAACTATGTTTAACTATGAGAAATTCCGTGTGCGTATAAATTTTCCCCATTTCCTCTAACTGCAACAGTTCAGAACAACTTGTCAAAGTAGAACCCTTTAAGGAGACAAATGTTGCAAATTATTGTAAATTTTTTTAATATGATTCATAATTCTTCAATTCACAAGTTTCAACTTTAAATTTATCAGCTTCCATTTTTTTACTATATTCCCACATAATCCTAAATTAACACTAAAAAGATACGTTAAGCATAGTTAGTCTTTCCTCCAATTGCAACCGTTCGGAACGATTTCACAACGTGGAACCCTTAAAGAAGCTAAGTTTTAGAAAATTATGATCAAATCTCCCAGAAATGTCAAGATAAAATCTAAATCACATGATATTAAGCCAAAAAAATATTTTTAAAGTGTGTTTTCTACTTTTACTTTTTTTCATTCTCGAAACATCATTTTTGATTAGAAAATGAAAAACTAAAGAAATAAAACAAAAATAACTATATATACTTCGTTTAAAAATAAATTTGTCTCGTGACAGTAGAAATACGTATTAGATGAAAAAATTGATTAAAAAAAAAACAACCACGCAAAGAAACTTTAATCATGTTCTACGAAAAAAACATTTTTTTTGTTGATAAAAATTGCTTACTGAGTATACAGCTCATTTCTGGCAGAAATAATCGAATGCAATAAACCCAAATTAGAACAACGCAGGGACCGACACAAACAAATATGGGTCCTCTATAAACTAAATTTTCTGAGTTCCTTCCGAAATAATTTAATTAATTTGAAATTATTTGTATAGTCTTAACATTAAAAAAAGATTTTTTAAAAATATACTTTATTAATCTGAATGTTTTTTTCTAGCGTTTTTTCAATCTCATGATTTCCAGTAAACTTTGTTTCGAAATAGTGGTGGAAAAAAATCTACTAAATTGAATTTATTAAATCAAGAATCACAATTAATATACTACCACTTGAAAATATTTATTCGCTGTCCGGAGCAAATTGGCATCTCTGTGTATATAAATAAAACTTTTTTTGTGTGTTTTATATTGCATTAATTTCTTCAAACCATTTTAGTAACGATAATAATATTAAAAAAAATTGAAAATTTACTTGAATTATGTGTTTCTAATAATCTTGGCTTTGCCGTCTCCGGTGACCCCGTGGCGCAACAAACAAACTTAGTGCCGGTCATCCCATGGCATTCAACTTGTTAATTTAGGTGAAATATTCTTAGAAATTTTGATGGCAGACAGTTAAAGTTTATATTTCTCTGTTAAAGTTAACATAGATAACTAAGATATATTAGATATATGGATAGATATTTTCAAGCTAAACATATAGGAAGAAAATAAACTTGTTACTTAACAAATTTTTTTGGCCCCAAGCCCATCTTGGCCTTGGAGATAATCA